TATCCAAAAGTTTTAGGCACCTGAGAAAATTAGAATTAAAAAAGTTATTTATCTTGGGAGTAAGTGTTTTTTGCTCAGATGTTTGTTTAACCATTTCCAAACTTCTGTTTTTAGCACGCCAGTTTTAATTGTAGCTATTATCCAATATCTGGTTTTGCTAATCTTCGCTAATTTGCTTCATTATGTCAAATCAAGTGTACTGGTGGAGGAATTTAGTAAATCTATGCCAAGCCTAGGGACTTTGAGAAGACAAGTGGAACTAAACTTTGTTCTTCAAACTAGCTCACAAGCTATCAACTACTTTAATCAAAATAAGAAACTCTTCTTACTTATTTCTGTGTTCATGTTTATTTGCATTTATTCTAATAACACATGGTGTTTTACAGGCAAAACACACAGTTTGCCAAGATAAATGGTCATCAATGAGCTTAGGGACCTTCACGCAGTACTGTAAATGCAGTATTTCTACATGTTCAAATGACAGAAGGTAGAAGCAAATCCATGGAACACGTACAACTGAGGTGTTTGTGTGTGGCTACACTTGGCATTTTAAAATGCTAACAAAATATTTATCTGTGTTTAGTGAATTACTACAGATTGTCAGCTTTCCATTTTGTGAATTGCTAGAAATAGTTGGCTTTGTTCCAGTAAAGCCACACTACTTTCTCGCTTCAGTTCCACACTTGATTCAGGCATACTTGATTCATCAGATTTACTGGCATTTTGAAGTTATTTCAATGCAGACCTGTCCTAGATAAAAATTCTCTTACCTCAGTATTGTCATATATAGTGCAGTATATGTCATATATACTGCAGTTAAACTGAAATCCTACATGCATACATCCAAAGCTCAGGAGCATTAGTGAGCTCAGGTACTCATGTTGGATGATTAGTTCTGGATCAGAAATGGCACACCAATTCATCCCAAAGATGTTGGATGGAGCTTTATCACTCCAGAGAACTCAGCTTCACTCACAGCCCAAAACCAGGGGGCTTTATAGGGGGCATGGTGAACTTATGCTAATGTGGCTCCAGAACATCCCATTGTATTGGCAATGCTTTTCTATGGAGAAAATAAAAGCTATGAGTACGCAACTGAACATCTGTGTCGGCAATGGGTGCACCCAAGTAGCTGAATTCAGTAATAAGAAGTGATGTCTAGATAGTTTTGAAAATATAGCGCATCTTTCCTCATTGCAAATAGTAAAACAGAATTAGCCGTAATTTTATTTAGTATTAGTACAAAATTGTAGTGGAATAAGTAGTAATTTTAGCACCATAGTTACATCGCTAGTCACAATGTGTGGCATTCAGTGGATTCATTAAATGAATCTACACATTACGGCCAAATGTATGCGGACACCCCTCCTAATTATTGATTTCAGGTGTTTTAGCCACACCCATCGCTAACAGGTGTATAAAGCACGTAGCCATGTAGTTTCATGCACCAAGGTTGACACTGGCATTAAGGTTGTAGTGAAGAGCTCAGTGACTTTAATGTGGCACTGTCACAGGATATCACCTTTTCCACAAGTTAGCTATTATTGTGAAATGGAAATGTCTAGGAGCAACTACAATTCCGCCATGAAGTGTTAGTGGTTTTGGAACAGGATGTCCAAGAAGCTTACATAGGTGTGATGGTCACATACCTTCGACCACATATTGTAATTTCTTTATTAAGTCCAAAAAACAAAAAACAAAAACAAAACCAACGAATTAAAATCACTCCTCTGAACATGAGCCGTTCATTATTGCCAATCAAGGCCCCCACTAGCTAAGCTCCTCTCCCACAAAAAAGATATCTTTATTGGCCATCGATTCTGGCTGTGTGTAATGGTGAGGCATGTGTGAGAGCAAGGTAAGTGTGAGCGTGAGAATGGTGGACCGCTGGGAAAGGCATTACGCTGCTGTCAGCCTGCTCGCCGGGAGTGCTGCATCACTCTTTAAACACATGAGAAGTTCATTACAGCTTCATGTGCTGTGTGACGGAAGAGGGATGCTCTTTCTGAGGCTCTGAGTGACCGTGATTATCTGACTGTATGGGAATTTTTGGTTGGTGCTACAAAAAAGTAGTATTTTTAAAATCAGTAGAAACCTGTATTCTTACAGGACTACATACTGCATTTTACGATAGTATATTATTGTAATCAATAATATCTTTTCAGAACATTATATATATGCACACGTACTAGAGAATGAAAGGAGAAGTTTAAACAGTAGTTTTAAGATTGTAGTTAGGACTGCATCTTAAATATTTGTACACAGTTAAAAATCCTAACAAAAGAACTGCTGCCTTTCAGTTTTTCAAAAACACAAACATCTATTCTTTCAAAGGCTTACAGGCTCCTTTAATAATACTCAGTTAGATTTTTAATTTACAGTTATTGGTAAAAGATTCACTGAAAAACTACAATATACAAAGAAGAAAAACATGCTACACTCATGTCTTACAAGCTCCAAAAGTTAGTGTTAGAGCTAGGGCTGTATAGTATTCATCTCAATGTGGAAAAGTGAATGTACACCTCTGTTAGCCCAACAGTGACTGAATTTCATAGCGAGCTGAAATTAGCATTATCTTAGCAGTGTCTTACAAGTTCCAAAAGTTAGTGTTAGAGCTAGAGCTGTATAGTATTCATCTCAATGTGGAAAAGTGAATGTACACCTCTGTTAGCCCAACAGTGACTGAATTTCATAGCGAGCTGAAATTAGCATTATCTTAGCAGTGTCTTACAAGTTCCAAAAGTTAGTGTTAGAGCTAGAGCTGTATAGTATTCATCTCAATGTGAAAAAATGAATGTACACCTCTGTTAGGCCCACAGAGACTGAATTCCATAGCAAGCTGAAATTAGCATTATTTTAGCAGTGGTATTCAGATACTTCACTTACAAAGAAAAAGGTTTTCTACATTAAAAGAAAAGGTTTCCACATTACATTCTGCTATACAATTACATATAACAAAACAATAAAATAAAAGTTTGTGAACGCACTTGAATTTCCATGCTTTATTTTATGTTAATACAGGCTGTGCTAGGTAAATCAGCATGCTATTAGACAGCTAGGTAGCTAGGCCAATGTTGACTAAATTTACCATTAGTTAACTATAAACATGTTGCATTTACTCTGGTTCACAGATATTAATGCAGCTTCACTAGATCTTTTAATATTTGAATAATGGAAAATTGAAAGACGAAACTAAACTGCCATGTATTATAGTAGCCATGAGGTAAGGTGTTTGATATGTTATGATCTGCCTCTATTGTACACTATTGTGTTTTCCCAGAATTCAACACAGGATGCTGCAGAAAACTGTAACACACATTTAAAGTATCATACTTGCTTGAACCCAGAAATTACAGAAATTCTTCACAGCGCACCCTTTTATGTTGGTATATCTTCCATCTCTACCCGCTAGCCTGAAAATACCCCATACTAATCTTTATAATGCAGCTCTAAAACCATATCATATTCATAATTTATCCTGTTTAACCTGAAGTAACATTCATTTTCTGTTTATCTTGTCTGTCCAATCCTAAATAGCAAAGGCGTGCTCTTGAAAGTGATCTACAAACCTACTTTGAGGGCAGTAGAGGCCAAAGTGCCAGGTTCTTGCTTGAAGATCAAACACACTCTAAGCACTTGTATTGTGGGGTTATATATATATATATATATATATATATTAGCCCATTATTGTCTAATGTGTGTTTTTTAGATCTAATACTATAAACCCTGGGGTTTTCCAGAGAAATGACAAGATCTGTCAGTAGATTATTTCTGGATCTTAACCATAAGCATGGCACCTCAGAGAGGGGAAAAAAGTTGCTTCACCTTTTAAGAAAGCTACAGCGCGTTTGATTTATGATGCTTCAACACAACTAAAATTCAATTTCTGCCAACATTCAGGTCTTCTGATTGCCTCGTAAATGAGATAAACTGATAGCAATTTATTCAAGGATCCAACCCCCCACCTCTCTCGCTCTCTCTCTCTCTCTCTCTCCCACAGATGCAGTCTGCTGGCTCCACCTGAGTGCCTCCCATACTTAAGCAATATGTCTGTATTCTGCAAGCGCTCACTAGAACAGACAAGCGCACACTAATAGAACATTTCAGGGAAGAGGGTGGAGAAAGGAAGCGAGAAGAACGAGACGGCTCTTGATGGAGAGCAAAAGTTTTTTTCAGAGCCGCTTTTCTCTCTCATTCTCTTGCATACACACCAGAAATGCAGACAAGCTCCCTGCTGTGCCATTGTTACCCCACAAAGCAGCCACGGGGCTTTAGCAAAACCTGGGGGTCCGAGCTTGCGCTCATGACGAAACGTCAATTATTCCATGTGTAATGGGATGGACCGTACGTTGAGCAGAGCTAACCTCTTCTAACTGATTCCTTAATACAGTGGAACAATGGGAATCTGCCATGCCTGTAATCCCCCTGGGCCCTTAATGTCAGACATCACTCACTCCTAGCCCATTAAAAGCCCCTTAACACCCTTCAATCAGTCACCAGACACCCGCTGGACCACACCAAGCCATTTTGGCTCCTCCAACATCTCAGCAAGGCTTACAAGCTACAGTCCTTTTTACTTAAAACGGTCAAAATTATAAAGAAATACTGATGTAGTTGGACTGTTAGTTGACGTAGCAAAAACGACAAAGAACAAAATCATTACAGTTACGCTCATGACAACCTTCCTGAAGGACAGCGTACATCAGCTTGATTGATTCGGCCCCTTTAGAGAGGATAGCCTGAGAGAAACGCTTTTGTTTTCTCAGTGCCACCCAATTACGAGTCTTCATTTGTCACTCCGGACCAGTACCGATGGCACTGAAGTGATGAGTTAGTGACATATTATCTCTGTCTGAGGACAATGGCACGAAGCAAAAGTGACTGCTGCTTCAGAAACAGGGTCAACACAAAAGGGAACTTGGTCAATTCAACCATTTCGAGGAGTATAATACACCCTCAAGGTTCTGACTGCAGGAAAACGATGCGATTGTGTTGTTTACCTTCATTTCCCGCCGACAGCCCATCTGGTTTGGTGATGCCTGTGCTCTTTTTCCGCCTGTGCTTCTTCCGGTTCGCATGTGGCGAAGGGGGTGGCTCCAGTTTGGGGCTGGTGGCTCCACCCATGCCAGGAGTGCTGCTCAGAGGGTCTGTCATTCCATTGGCTAGAAAGAAATACACATTTGGGGTTACCAGTTAGATTATTTGACTAAAGTTGTCTGGTACGCTCACTGGGGCTTGCACCTGGAATTTCTTAGAAGCTGCTTTGTGACAACGCCTTTTGTAAAAAGCGCTATATAAATAAACTTTGACTTGGATGTGATTTAGAACAACTAGAGCCAGGGGATTTAATTCTAGTGTAATGCCATCCCGATTCAGAGCCCTTTCCTTTCCTATGCTACAATGAGAATCAAAATATGCAGATCCTTTTTAACGTAGCCTCATCTCTGTTACACCTGCATCACAGGGGTGGAAGAGATAAACAAATTTTTACAGAGGTGACAAATGAAGGTTTAGGATTACTTGAGGTATGACTACATCAGAGGGTAGGCTGGGAGGTGCTCTGGGTTACAGGTAATAGAGGTTTGGTTTGGTGTAAGGTGACTTTATAAACGTGATAACCTGCTGCTCTGTAATGCAGTGGGTGCACCACTCAGAGGGAGGGCAGTGTGTTTGTGTGTGTGGACGGTGTCAATAAAGAGATCAGGACCATCTTTCTAAGCCTCTTGACACTTGGACATCACTTTCCTGTCCCCCCAGGACACCATTACCCACAACCCCTCACCAAAGCCCCAGGGCAGAGGGGCCTTGGCAAAGTGGACCCCATATTGCTACGCATCCACACATGCATTCACACTGTGTGTCAGATGCTGGCAGCCCCCTCTATTGTCTTGGCATCAAAAGCTCATTGTGGTGTTGCAAACTCCATTCATCTCACCAGGCCTGGGGTGGGTGTGCATGTCTATATGTGTGTGAGTGTGTGTGTGGACAGTGGTCTGGGAACATCTGAAAACCCGCAGTGCCAAACACTGCATATTCTAATGGCAGTGGCGACCATTAGCCGACGTGGAACATTAGACCTAATTTGGCAGATCCCTTCAGGGAGCGAGGCTTAGCGCAGTCTTTAAGAGGAGTGAGATGGGACCCATGCGGGGGGTAGAGGAGCCTCCACTACAGCCTCCACATCTGCCTCGGGCTCCGCACGGCTTAGCGTGGGCTAGCGTAGCAGCTAACACCAGCTGCGCCACTGCTACTTATTGCCGTGCTCACCTTCAGACCCTGTAAACTCACCATTGACTTTAGCTCTTGGAAGTCTAGATTTCTATTACAGTTTATAATACACAATTACATAATTAATTACATAGACAATGAACTACATTTACTTTCTTTACTGAAGGTGTCAGCTTGCCCTTCAGATTGTTTTGACTTGTTAAAAAATTGACAACTGACAAATATGGCAAGCATGTAAACATTGCTTTCTCTCAGCAAACACATACAGTATGTGTATAACTTTTCATCAAATTCAAATCATAATAAAACATCTCTTCTACTCATAAACATAAATGTGATATTGATTGAAGAACCCAGACTTTCCGTTTCAATAAGCTATGAATGAGAAACAAACAAAACATAAGAAAAAGGTATCAAGGCATATATGTCATGGTGGACCAAGGACAAATAAACCTTATTGCTAAGCATCTTATCACACACAATTTATCTGGGTCAGAGACTGAGAATTGGTGAAGCTGTACTGGTAAGAAAGTGAATCAAATGATGGTGTATGTCGATTCTACAGAGAATGTTGAATTAGAACAGCACATAATGAAACAGTGGAATACGGAAATGCTCCATGAGCTTCAGCTTTAATTACACATGACAAGAGGCAAAAGGAAGGGTTTAACAATTATGCGGTCATTATCGTACAATTACTGTAATTCTCTTCATCAGGACAGCCATTCTGATTATCACCCCATCACAATCCGACAGAAAAAATAATTACAGATAACAACACAATCCATAGCATCAATCTAAATATGCAATGCCTGTTTTAGTAAATAGACGAAATGTAGTCACTTCAATTGACAATTGAGCTGAAATGAAGGCCAAAAGCTACTAACACCAAACTTAATCTTACAAAAGGAACTAAAACTCATCTTAAAAGTTCTTCATTCACACTGTCCTTTTACACTTACCCTTGATTTGCTGGCACTACGTTTATCTTTAGTTTTACTATTATTATAGCGAAATCAGTAGCAGATACTGTAATTTCTGCACTGATGTAAACATGGCAGGAGCTGCCGCTCCTGTCATTGATATTCATGACTATTAGGTGCTGCCCGCTCTGTCTCTCGTTCGTAGTGGGGAAGCAGAGTTCGCAGCTGCCACACACGTTGTGGCGGCGACGCGAACGTCTGTTTCAATTTCCACACTCCTCTTCCCAACAGCCCCCCCGGGACCTATCATTAGCTGTAGCAGACAGCTGGGGGCAGAGGGGTTCCTGAGAACACCGTTCACACACACCCGCACACACACCGTATGGTGCGAGGGAGGTGGGGGTGGGGTGGTGGGGGCACCCAACCTGTTCTTTTGCCAGAGGATGTATTGTCTGTGTAGCGTGAGGTTAAAGTAGAAGGTTGCCCCTGTCTCTCACACAGGACCTCAGAAGACCTTTAATTCATTCATAAGGTTTTATTCACACAATCAAAGTCAATAAGGATGGTGGTTGGGGGTGGGGGGTAAGGGGTAGGGATGGACTCAGTCATTATGATCTTGAGCGACAAAATAACGACTTTAAAAGAGGCCTGCAAACGGTCTGCCTGTAATGGCAAGATGTCAAGATCAAACACTGCTGAAGACTTGCCAGGCAAAACATTTTTGCCTGTGAAAGGTCATAATTTAGCCTTCATTTGGTCATGTTTATCTTTGCGATAGCTAACCAAAACTTCTTCAGTTGTTTATCACTTGCTGGACCCGCATATAGTGAGTCACCTGAGCCACTGGGCTACTTGCATTTAGGTACGCAACTAGTGCTTTTGCTCAAAGAGATGTCTCATTAACCAACCGAGGAGACAGTCAGTTCTAGTCAAGGGCCATCGCTTTCACCATCAATATCTTGTGCTGCATTGACCACTGCAGCAAAGAAAGCATCCAAACTGCTCTAAACTTTCATTTCTTGCTGTCAGGTAACGTTTCATCACCATCTTTTTTTGAAAGAGTTTCGATGAAAAGTTCAACTCGAACTTATGCCACTTGCTTTACTTTCGAGAGCTTCCTTTCTGAAATAACTCAAAAGTGAGAGGGTCAATTTCCAAGCAGAAACTCAAGGGAGAGGAATTAAGAGGTGCGCACAGCCACTCGGGGTGTAGTTAGCCATAAATAACCTGCAATTTGTCCCCTATTCAAATGGCAGCTTTGACTTGCCTAATTACTCGTCATATGTTCTGATGGAAAGCGCTTCAGATTGAGAGCCAAAATGGCAACGGGTCCAGCTCGGCAGGAAGCTGAGGGAGCTCAGCTAAAGTGTTATCAAGCACCGGGGCTAGGAGGTATAATGAAGCTCAGGAGGGATCTATGGTCATTTGCATCTGGAGCCGAAATGGAGCAGGAACCTTTTTCCGAGGCAGGGCTGAGGGAGTGGTGATGTGGTAAAGGAACCTTCAATTACAGTCCATTACTATCCTGGCGGGAGATGGACTTAAAAACTCAGGCTCTGGTGATGAGGGCCGTGGGTGAGGGTGAAAGGTGGGGACGTTAACTCACTTCTTCATAGACTTCTCTCTCTCTCTCTTTTCTGCCCCTCCATAAGCGAGGGCAAACTTCCTCCACTAATTTAAGAGCTCGCCGGGTACGAGCGGTAATTTTTCTGATGGAGCTCCCCCCCATACACCCCCAACCTGCCTCCTGTCGCCGCGCAGTTGAGAGAGAGCAGCCCCCTGCCCGTAATCAAAGGCAATGGCTGCAATTAATGGAAGAGGGGGGAGAGAAAAAACGAAAAAGAAAAAAAGAGTCAACACAATCACCACCTCCTTCTTATTATAGTCAATTAGAGTGCGCTAATCAAGGCACGGGCAGGCGCACGCCACTGCTCTCGGCAAACGAAATGTCAAACTTCATTACGGCCGGGAGAGGGGGAATCAAACTCCCTTTGCTCGCAGCCTCTTCATACGCCGCGGGGGAGCATCTCGCCCCCTCCCTCCATCTTCAAATCCGGAGTGCAGACCAGCCTCACTGAAGTGAGATTGGTTTCACATGCTCAAGTTATTGTCACTTGCTCAAATTACTATTAGAATCACATGAGAGAAGTCCAAGGTAAACCGCAATTCCAGGTATAGATCCTTATTTAAGTGCAACAGCTACTCCAGGCACTCCAGCCTGCAATATTAACCCTTACATTTGGGGCAGCTGTTGCCTGAGATAACAAAAGCTTGCTATAATTTGAAGCTAATTATTTTTCATGTGTCGCTCATTGCAACAAGTAAAAAAAGTCAAAAGTGTGCAATCTAAACCCAATGCATACCAACATTTGTATTTGTAAACAGAAGAGGAAACTGTCACTGGGGCAGATGTAACCTACATCTCAGCAGCTTTAGTCAGGTAACATAATTGTACCACAAGCCACTAAAACTGGATTTTCTAAGTTGTACTGACTCCCCACACTCCATCTTGTCTCCATCTTGGCTTTTTTATTTTATTGCTTTGTTTTAAAACATTAGGTTATGAAAAGGTACAAATATGTACTTTTCACCTGGGAAAAACTTATTTAAGGTATACAACTGGACCTTAAAACCACTGTTGAACTTTTGTAGGTACATTTATGCTGTTTGAACCTTGATGAACGAAAAATGTACCTGTACAGTACCTTTATTTCTAACAGTGTACAGAACGCAAGTATAATTCATGAATATAAATTCAACGAATAAAACTATGGAATTATGTAATCACGCTTAACCCCTTCTGTACGAATAACTTAGCCAGCTTGCCTTTTAGTCCATGTAGCTACTGATTAATACGCATTTAGGATGTAATAAGGCTCGGATTTTAAGAGGTCAAATAGTATAGCAAAACAACAACAAAAACAACAACAAAAACAACAACAAAAACAACAACAACAAGAACAACACCACCACCAACAACATCCCTGAGGGCAGATTTACTAACATTTTGT